GGGACTCGTGATTGGCCCGGCTGTACATAATTAAGACCCGAATAGCTACCAACCGGACAAGTGATATTCGATAATACATTCGAAGATAGAGTCCCGAAAGGCCTTACACCAGGTATAAGTTGCTGTTGTTAACCAAATATAGGCTGAAATAATAAAAATGGATAAATGTTAAACATTATATTTGAATATTGCACTAGAAAATATTTTTATTTTATTTTTTTAATTAGAAAATAAAAGATGTTACCAAAGCGTAAGGATGAATAGCAGGTGGAGCATGTCCATAGAAGATGTTTTGGCCTACAAACGGACTAATCGCAGCGCTGACTGTCGGTGAATTTGTACGTGGCCGTCGATTGTTAAAAAGGAACTGATAAATATGGCAAAAAACAACGTCGTTAGTAGTCCACAAAAATATTAGATAAAAACTGTAAATTAAATAAATAAGGGGTATTGTTTAGTGAAAATGCTTCTTGCAAAAATATATAACTAAAAAAAATACCTGCATTCGTGCTTTTCGATCTTCTTTCTTTTCTGCGATGGCAACGTAAACGGGCTTCCCATTTACCATTTTGTCATTCATTTCTGAAATCTGTTGTTGAGTGTAGATTTTACGCTAAATACATGTACTTTACGTGGATCTTTTGTTTAGATTTAATTATATTCGTGCTTTAATTGATTGTGGATCTTTTGTTTAGATTTAATTATATTCGTGCTTTAATTGATTGATTTTGTGTTTTATAGGTGAAAACGAGAATTATGTGTCCATGAAGGAAAAAAAGATCAAAAAGAAAGGAAAAAGTTGCAAATAAGGAAATGATCAAATTGGAAGAAGGAATTTCGCCACAGCTTTGGCAGTGTCCACCATTGTGAGCATATCTCTCTCATACGAACTCCAAATCAGCTGATTTTGGGGGCATTGGAAAGCTAATTTCAAGGGCTACAATTCTTATTTGCGAAATATTCCAAAATTCGGACTCCAACATGGCGAAAATAGAAGAACAAATACTGATGGGGGAAAGTGGCGGAAATTGATTCCTATTAGATTTCCACTACTTCCTAATCAAGAAAAGCATATAAAAGCAACAAGTCTCTACACCATAAGCACGAAATTTTACACCACAAAAGGCGAATAACGAAGATCAACGAAGACTCAAGCATAGTTTTTATTATTTATTTTATTTATTCTATTTTGTTTATCATAAGAATTACGAGTAGCTAAGTTTTTAATCTAGGATTTTATTCGAACCCTATGTCGTGATTTGAACCTATTTTTCTAATATTATGCAAGTTTAATTCCATGATTATTTCTTCTATTTGATCTTATTTAGCGCATGAACCTAGCTAATTTATGTTGCTATGTGTTATTGTTAGAATTGATTGACAGATCGTTTTAATAATTAGAACAAGGATAGAAGAGCATTCGAGTAGTTTTCACCGGATGAGTGTGTCAATTGCATGTGGTGTCGTAGACATACAGATATCACCTTAGGTAGCCGTTTACGAGACTTGTTATTTAATGCTTTATTTATAATTGGTTTGCATAGACATATAGTGAATCGGTTATAAATAATAGACTCATAATACACGCGACAACGGGTTATGAGTAATTGAGTGTCTCGGGTTAATAATCGCGAATCGTAACTTGCATGATAAAGGTTTGATTGGGTGACGATTTATCGCATAGGGGAAGATAAAATCATAGATCTGTTTTTATATTGATATTCTTTATTGTTTATTTTCTTTCATAATTAGTTTAATTATTTAGTTGATTAAATTTGACAAACTTGCGTTGGCTGGATAAAAATTATAGTTATTAGAATTCGGTACTTATGAATAGATAATTTGAGTATTACATGTGGGATCAACATCCGACTCTCACGAGTCCACTTTTACTACTTGTTTGCGATACATGCACTTGTGTGTTAGGTATTTAGCCCAATATCTGTAAAACATGCAAATGAAGATAGTTAACTTTTATGAAATAAGGTGATAAGAGGAGAGGGATTGAACTAATGAGTGTTAAACACAATAATATTACTGTGGTTGATGGTAATATTACTGTTGTTATAGTAATATTGTTGTCAACCACATCAATATTATTATTTTGTTTGGATTTTTTTTTTGTTTGAGTTATTCACGGAGTAACGTTATAATATTACTGTCTATTATTGTAATATTACTGTGGTTGACGGTAATATTACTGTTGTTATAGTAATATTACTATCACTCACAGTAATATTAATTCTTTTGGCTTTTTATTATGTTTACATTTGTTGAGCGGTCAACATAGTAATATTACTCTATTACACAATAATAATGAGTTTTGTTGAGTTAATATTACTGTGCTAGAGATTAATATAGCAATATTAATGTGTTAAACTGTAGTTTAGTTAATTTTACTGTGTTTAACAGTAATATAGTTAATATTACTGTCAATCACAACAATATTGTTGTTTAAACGAAAAAAAAATGTTACAGAAAGAAAAAAAAAATCGAAAAAGTTAACGCCGGAAACCGGCAAAAAAATCCGGAAGAAAAAAAAATGAAAAGTCAACGCCAGATTTTTGATTTTTTTTTTTTTTTGAAAATAAAATTTTTGGGTCAAAATTGAATAATTTGTGAAATTTGGGGTCAAATTGAGGTTAAATTAAGTTAAGGATGAAATTTGAGCATATTAAAGTATGAGGGGCTATTCTAGTCTTTTATAAAAATCTGGACCATGTGTGGACTTATTGGTAAAAGAGTTTTTTGTCTGGATCTCTTTATGAATAAGTACCCATTGTTGGACTTATTTGTAATGACCCCATATATTAACCGTGCATTTTTTTACTTTTTTTTTTACTTAATTGGAACGAATTCATATAAATTTTTCAAAGAGTGGTGCTATTTCCACCTCCAAATTATCTCAATTTACCATCAAAGATTATAAAATATCACAAATACCACTCAAATTTATATCCACCACCTTTCTTATATTCACCTAATCCTCATGTGTTCAAAGGTAATTCTATTTTATTTAATTTTTATAATTTTGTATTATTTTTTATTTTATTTTTTACAATGAAATATTTATTACAAGATATTTAAACTTCCATATCATATGCCATCAGATTGCGTAATTTTTTTAGGAAGGGAAATTATATTAAGCCAAACTGGCCAATTTTGGAGGAAGTTCAGGACCTTCCATTCAAGCAATCTTAATTTATTTCTCAAAAAACGTGAATTTCTGCTCTTTTTGACTTTCGGAAATGTTTTTCTTTGACGAAAGTATTATTCAGTTAAGGTGGAGAGGGTGAGATTTCCAGTGAAAAATGTGGAATTTTTTTTATAAATATTTTAATTAGTTTAGTGGTTGATGGTTTATAAATTTATAAAGATATAATGAAAGAAGAAGAAAGGGGTAAACTTGGAAATGTATTTAATTAGGTGGTGAAATAAGATATTATGAGGATGGAAATAGCACGTTTCTTTTCAAATTTATTCAACAAAATAATCATTGTAAAATGTAATAAACTAATATTTAACTATTTTTTATAAGTTTTAATTCTTGAACCCTACCAATAATTTCTAGCTGAACTTTTAATCCCTGAGTATTGTGATTGGTTCTATCACATGAAACCTAAGCTCCGACCACTAATTAACAATATAAAGTCAACTAATCGAAGCTCTAACAACTCACCCCAATGTTGTCACCGCTGGCAACTGGTAGCATAAGATCATTGACTTCACGTATACCTATGTCAACTACAGTCAGAAGTCAACTAATTGGAAATCAATTAAGAGATTTAGCATTTTGGTGTATCATATTTGGTACATCTACATTATTATTTTCTCTAATTGTTCATTAATTTAGAGGCAAATTAAATAATGCAAAAGATGTCTGAAATAATTGCCCAGGAGCTAAAGTCAGCTAATCTTGAAAACGCACATCTAACGGGCTCTCTAAATTTCTACTATATCGGTAATCGAGAGAAACGTCGTTGAGAGACTATAAAATATATTGTAAGTGTCCTTCAATTTGATGTATTTTATTTGCCTTTTTCAGATGTCATGCATGCTTTTGCCTCAGTTGAAGTGTCAATTAACACTTACATACACACAAACACACACACAAAGTGATCATTCAATGAAACGATTCTATATTAAATATCTACTAATTATTCTTCACATCATGAGATTACTTTTCATCGAACCCTTGTGTTATTTTAGTCATATGTATCGATTAAAATTTGTTTCTCACAAAAAATGAAGTGCTACCATTGATTCGACGAGAAGTCGTCAGACATCTATATGCCATGAAACTAATTTACACGTCCTCGTCACTTTTTGTTTTTTTTTTTAATTTATTTACGAGATTAGGAATTTAGAGTTTCAATTTATTATATTCAACAATATATACTTTAAACACAACTAAATTATAGTATTCATCTTTAAAAGACCATGAACGATTTATGATATATGTACATTCCAAGACAGTGACACTGGATGATGAGTATGTAATAATAGGTTTTGTCAAAATTAACGAACGAACTATGATTGGTATTAGATTTTTTCATATATAAAGACCGCCGTGGGAGCTTATTAGCCCCATTACATCTAGATTAAGAAGAAGGAACATCCATGTGGTCATATTAGCCAAATTTTACATCTCATTATACATTTTTACACTACAAGAAAAAGACCTTTTGACAACACGCAATACGCATTGTTAAACTATATACACAACGCGCGGGCGAATGTTGTAGACCAACATGTTGTTAAAGCCTTGTGACTTTAACAACATGTCAAGCGTGTTGCGGTTTGTATTATAACAACAAGCATGTTATATTGTGATAAGCTATTCACAAGAATACAAGATGCATTAGTATGTTGTAACAAACCTTATAACAAGCCACCATGGCATCTTGCAGTAGAGTTTCAACAAGATTCTTTTGCACCTTGTCGAATGATTTATTATTAGAAAAAAAAAATATTCTCATATAATCGTAATAATCAAAATGTACAGAGAAATCAAATTTCCAATAAATTTATATTCAATACAATTTAAAGTAAACGGAAATTCTTTAAATACAAAACTATCCAACAATACGACGATCGCATATCATGTAGTCAGCAAACAAAATAATTATTTTATGTCTAACTAAGTCTCAAGTCTCTCATAGTCGAAAATCCTCAACACAGTTTAACCGCTAGGTTCTTGGATGCCAAGTGTTCCAACAGTTTACAAGAATAGGCTGAAAATAACAACAAGTATTGTTAACTGGTGTCCAAATAAAAATTAAATAAGGAAAACATAAAGAGATCAATTACGAAAACGTTCACACTTCCAGTAGGTGTAATAACATATCACCCGTGGAACTCACTAACTCACTACATGTAAATTTTCCTAGCTATAGAAACCAAATAAAACTCACCAGGTGCATCTCCTCTTCAGAGAGCGCTTATTAAAATCACAACCAAATCACAGTAATAAGATGAATAAAAAAAGGCTTTAAATATATCATCAAACTTATAAGCAAATACCTTCGATCACGGTTATTTGTTGATTTGTCTGCATTAACGAAATCCATATCACCTATCATTCTGCGCAATCTAGAATAGAACATACATTAATTGGAAAAGAAGAGTGCTAGTAAAGCCCTTGAAAATGAAATAACCATACGATGCATTTAAACGGCCGATGTAGTTACAAATACAATTACTAAAACATAAAATAATAAATAAGTTTGTGGCTGATCGAATAAACACTATGCAAAAAATCCCATGTCTCCTGATAGTCTCAGTTACACAAGTAATATTCAATCACTCATCCTTTTAAAAAAAATCCAACTCCAAAGTCGATCAATCTCCTAAAACTTTAAAATAACAAACATGAGACAAAATCTATAATAGAGTGACAACATCTTGATTTCTTCGAGGAGAAAAATGCATTGCATAAATTACCTCACTAAGAAGCCATTTTCTCTGCATAGATACACAATTTTGTTCCGGTGATAAAATGTATGTAGATATGTTTTGGACCCTAAAACGTCTCTCCACTCTTTAAGTCTAGAAACGAAGAGACAAAAGATAGAAAGAGTACCGTGAAACAGAGTCGTATAACCCATTTCAAGAATAGATGGTAGGAAATCAGTCCTTCTTCACACCTGTGACACCCATAAGAGAACACACATTTCTTTTCATATTTAACAAAAAGAAACGACAAGTTGCTTAAAGAGAATTGAAAAGTTATGAATGGTATAAGTACATACCCACTTCTCTGGCAAATTAAACCCTATAAAAAAACAATGAACTTATTTAGGGAAAAAATTCACAAAAAATATTACACCGAACACCTAAACTTTTAAAATCATATAATTTCCAAATCTCCACTTTGATTTCAATAAAATCAATGGATTCTTAGGTCCAATTTTGGAAATAAATATGACTTTGAACAACAATTTATAATTTGAAGGAAAAAGGAGAAATTACCCTAATTATGCGACAGACGGAGAGAATGTACTGATGGTGGCGGCTCGCGCTGTGGTGGCTGGTCCTTGATAAGGCCGAAACTCATAGAGAGATTTATTGTGGCGCGGTGCTGGTGGTGCAGACGGTGGCGAAATTTTGGAGAGAGACGAAGGTGAGAGGAAAATAATTGTGGAGATAGGGAAGAGAGGGAGACGTGGCTGGAAACCGAGAAAATAAAAAAATTGGAGAAGGAAAAAATAGAAATTAAATATAAATAAGGGAAAATAAAATTTTCATATCCCGCATTGTGAATGTCGTTATATTTAATATGCTCTACAATATGCTTAAATGTGTTGTAGTATGTTCTGTTAACAACATGCGAAACACGCATCTTGTGAAATATCTATGTTTGAGACTTACAACAACATGCATTTAGTGTATGTTGTCAAATATATAATATTACAACATGCTTTGGCCGTATGTTGTTGATTCCAAGTTGTTAAAAGTCATTTTTCTTGTAGTGTTATTTGATTTTAGAAAAGAGAAGAATACCCCCAATATATTTAACTATAATAACCTAGAATGAGCTTAACATGCAAGAAAGCATTCTAGACTATATTCTACCTTTAGCAAATAAATGTTTCATAAAATTCATCTACCTTATAAGAAAATTGAAATTATAATTTATCCTTTTAAAAATCAGATGCGTATATATGCAGTTATATGGATATAAAATAGGGGGAATTTGCTAGACACCCCTTATTTTGGACTTATATAGCTAGAGATCCTAGTTGTTAGATGAATATAGGCATAGGTCCTTTGACCTAATAAATTAATATAAATAAATTAAAATAATCAGTATATAGACCATAACACCCTCAATTAATAAGAAAACAAATCTTATATATCCCCTCTCTCCAATCTCACGTTACTTTTTTCCTATATAATTCCTCATCTCTCTCTTTCTGCATCTCAATTCTCACGGCTCTCTCTCTCGTGCTTCTCTCTTTTTTTTTTCTCTTTTTCGTTTTCTTTGTTTTTTTTTTAATGAAGAAATATTATAGAGATGAAAAAAAACAAGGATCTTTTTAGATTATGAGAGGATTTCTTTATGAAAGAATTAAAGAGGAGGACAAACATCCCCTCCAAAAAAAAATCAGAAATCCAAAATTCTAGCCAAATTCGCATTGTATTTTCCGTATGTAGAACCTCTCATCGTTTGTTGTTAGCAATTTCCGTTTGCGGTTGGTTTAATTTCGTTTGTTGTTTGAAGAATTGCGTTTGGTGTTGAGATTCGATTCCTCTGGTTTACAATTCGCAAGGTATGTCTTAAGTTACATTTTACAAACATTTTGTTTAATATTTTTGTTGTTTGCAAATTGTTCTATAAACAATTTTTTGGTTGATGTTTTTAATGATGCTGATTTTTTTTATTTTTTTTTCAATTTGCTGTTTGCATTTGGCCAAGTCATAGGTAGTTTATTGCTCGCAGTTCAATAATGCAAGTTTTGCTGAATGTTTTTATTCAGTTTGCTGTTTGCATTTCCCGAAGTCATAGGTAATTTTTTGTTTGTAATTTATTAATACATATTATGAATTTTGTTTTTCAGTTTGTTGTTTGCATTTGGCGAAATCATGGGTATTTTGTTGTTTGCAATTCAATAATATAAAATCTAATTTTCAGTTTGCTATTTGCAGTTCGCGGAGTCATAGACGTCGCAATTCCCTGATCATAGGCGGTGGTGGGGCTGCGGTGACGTTTTTAGAGTATGAGTTTGTAAAATAAATTGTATATTTTTGTTATGAATTAATTTATTTGTTTTAGTTAATATTTAGAAGAGAGATGTTTGGGAATTTGTTATGATAGAGAGACTTTTGGGGATTTGATTTGATTTAATTAAGGGTATTTTTGCCATAATAAATATTATTAATTTATTAAAACATTAAATTTTGACTTGGATTTACACACATAAATTATAATATAAAGGGACCTATAGCAAATTGCCCCTATAAAATATCACTTCGGCAAAACATCTTGGATGTATTGAGAATTGCTTCAAAGATCCTGAAAATTTGGAGTCTATGTCTGAAGTACATAAACGGTATTGCGGAAAATAATTAAAATATATACATTATTGAGAAGTAGAATACATATCAAGGGCACATTCTCAAATTGTCCATTAGAATTGATGTTGATAGAAACATAAGACTCTTGTTTGGACATGATTTCTTTCCGGCCGTCGATTGCTACATGCTAGGTGCTACCAAGCTTATTGATACCTAAGAAAATAACTATTTGAACTAACTCTACATAATATATTACATAAGGAGTTGTCTAACCATCAAACGAATATCTAATTAACTTTTAAATTATTACAAGGACCATGATTTAGCTATATAAAGTTTATTAGTACCTTGAGTAGTACGCCGCTTGCGCGTTTTTTAATCCCCTTCTGCGTAATCTACAATATATAAAATAATCAATATCGAAACAATTGCAAGAAATTTATTCAATGTTACTCCCTTCAATTAAACTCTTCTAGAATTTTACTTAATTTATATTATTTTCCTTCAGTACTCTTGTATTGAGTGATTGAAAGGAGGATTTCAAATGTATAATAATAAACTCATCAAATATTTGCATCCAATTATTCGAAGAAATGATTTTAAATTTTCAAATCTGTAATAATAAAACCATAAATTAATTTAATGAATCTATTTTACGATGGATTCAAGTTATTAAACTATTTAAACTTATTTTGAAGGTATTTTGGTAGATTTTAAATGCAACTTAAAATATTTTAAACTAATTGACTTGTTTTTACATTAGACGTATTTAATTAAAAATTAACATTATATAAAATTTATCGTAGTTACGAGAAAGTGTTTTCTATAAAAACATAAAACTTAAGAAATTGAGACTTACTTCCACATTTTGTACCAACTGGAAGTGGATTACCACAATATCTTGCAAGATCCACCACTTTATATGAACTATATATTATATTCTTACCACTCACGAATCTTTTGCAAAAGAATTTTATGTCCGTCTTCTGGGCATAATTACAACATCTTTGATTTGGCTTATAGAACATGGGATACCTATTAGATATGTAAAATGAACAATATACGATGAAATTGGTTGTGCCCCAACAACGTGACACAATATGGGGTACTGATTTAGGATGTTGTTCCAACGCCATGTCGATCTCCATTGTCGTCAACCCAGTAATCATAAAAACTACTAGCAAAACATCAATGAATACGAGACACGCCCATTTCTCGTTTATGTCTATGTCTATGCGTGTCGGTGTGTATCATGAAACTTATAATGTAAAGAGGTGCTAAATACTTTGCTAAATTGGAAGTATTTATTAAATTAGATTTTCTTCAACTAATATTGGATCGTCTTTACTAAGACACTTGTTAATCACATCATATGGAGCAATGATATTAAGCAATTTAAGATTGTCATTTGAACTAAATGACAATCTTAAACTCAATATTTTAATTAAATCCCTACATTGAAACAATATATGACCCATATCCCTAATTTTTATTTTATCACTAGTTTGCCATTAATATCCTAAATATAATATCTCACGTTTCTTCAACTAATCAGATTTATTTTTCTTTTATTTTCTGTTTCTCTCTCTCTCGCCTCTCCCTCTCCCTCTCCTTCTCAGATTTATTGTTCTTTTGTTTTCTCTTTTTCTCTCTCCCTTGCCTCTCCCTCTCCCTCTCCATCTCCCTCTCCTTCTCCCTTTCTATCTCGCCTCTCCTTCACCCTCTAGCTCTATCTATATGTCTCTCGCTCACCACTCAGTTATGGTGGATATGGTGGGTGGCGGCGTCGGAGACTACGGATCTGCAAATGGTAGTGGCGACTCTAGGCTCATGACGGTTGAGAGAGGCAGCAGTTGTTGTGGTTATAGAGTGGAAGGTTATGGTGGTAGATGGTCATTGAAGACTGTGGTGTGAGGTTAGGTCTATGGTGGGAGGTGGTTGCATCAAGCTAGGGTTTTGTTTGGCGGCTTGGGTTTGGTGGATAGAAGTTGGCGGCGACTGCGAGTTGTTATTTTCTTCTGCCATTTTGCAGATAATTTCATCTTAAGATAGTTGTCAAAAATATGCTTTTATTGAGCCGAGGCGAGTTGTCTATGTCCTTAAGACGAAATATCCCGCAACGGTGCCGATGGCTTTTAATGGAAATCGTCTCCCAAGATACAACGGTAAGAACTTGGAATAAGAGCACTCCAAATTTCAAGTACGACGAATTGTACTTTATTTAGAACTTTCCGAGAGAGTCCGGAAAGGTTAGGATAGAAATGCAGAAGAAGAGAAATGGATTTCGGATTGAAGTGTTGAATTATGTGATAACGAGGGTCTATTTATAAAGTTTTAAAATGTAGTGTCCCTTGGAGCAAAGGTGGCAAAGACCCACCAGTTCGTCCTATTTTGCAATGTTTCGGCTATAAAGCCGTTAGGCCGAATGGTTTACACTGGTTCAGCCGCACCAATTCAAACCAATTGGGCCAATTCGAAATGAGCTTCGGGTAGGAGAATCCATTGGTTCGTTGGCCCATTTCCTAATGTTTTTAGCCCAAAAATTAAAATAGTGGTTTGGGCCCAAGCCCAAGCCCAATATCCGAAACAAACAAACAAGTCGAGACCGCCGGTCGGACGGCGGGACATGAGTCGAAACTCACAACATATAGGTCTTTCTCCGAAACAAAAATTATTTTCCCGAAATGGTGCAGGCGGCTTTTAATGGAAATCGTCAACCCAAGATGCAACCACCAAAAAGTTC